GACAAGCGAGCTTTCCCTCAATCAGAATCTTTCTTTTGGGACTCTCTGATCTTTGAGAAAGGAGTTGCTATTTTCATTTCCCAAGCAGAGAAGAAATTTTATACCAAATGGTACCTACTAAAAATACGTGTATCGCAGAACCTCGCGAACCTCTGGGGAGGGGAGGGGGGAGGTGGTGTCCACAAAACGTCAGGGTAAGAAAGGGGGAGAGAATTGGAGTAAATTATGTAGAGTTTGGAACAGGTTAGGGGACCCATCAGTTTTAACACACTTTTTAGATGGTATTGATTAATGCGCACACAGTCAATTCATGCAGTACTATTTACAGGGCACAGATGGTTATACGAAAGGCTGTGAAAAAAGCACTCATTTGGGCCTGATTTCTGCACATTCATTTGTTTTATTCCCAGTCTTGAGCCCCTTTCCCCCCCCCCAGTGTCCGGCCATATTTCACACGTTCCCATTGTACATGATGTCCTGGTTCACCATCTGCCATGGTCTGTACAAGTCATGCATTGACTTTGTCGAGAAGGTAAACCTACTGACAGCCCACAAGGGAAGAGTTAACCATAGTTTTCTAGCACAAGACGACTTGGAGTATTGATATTCATTTCTATTCCTCCCAGATCATCTGGGATGTTGGTCCAGTACCACAAGGTTACACACAGTATTCTGTAACAAATAACCACTCATATAAGTTGTAGATCAACGCACTGGAGAGAAATAGCATGGACAAAATATTACCTAAGGCAACAAAATACCAAGGAAAGCTGACGGAGAAAACTATAAACCCTTTGGGGCTTGGGTCTTAAAAAGGAACAATTTTAAGACTTTAGATCAACTAGCTTAACCGCCACTGTTAATAAAACCAGTGATGTCCAGTGCTTGATAAAGCCACTTCCCCACACTAAAGAAAAACTGGCATCAGAAGAATATCTAGCAAGTTATCTGGGAAAATATACATGTAAATGCAAAAACTAATAATTTACATTTGTTTACAAACAAAATATTGATCAACAGTTGAAATGACATACTCTTTTATTTGAGTTATCTTGGTGTTATGAGAAAAACTTTGTTGGAACATTTTTTTATTTTATTTTCATGCTGCGACTAGTGGCATTAACAACTGTCACTTGCAGTTGTTTGTTGAGGAGTTAAAAAGCTGAGCTAAAATAATATGTAAGCAAACAAAAGCCATACCTTAGAATTTACAATACACAACCTACCACAAAACTAGTTACTGAATACCTTAAGTAAATAAAGTTCTATGTATTAGAAAAAGATGCTGTATTGGGACATTCTATTTTTTATCCGCACCCTCCCTATGGAAGGCATGATTCTGAGAGGCCCTTACCTCTTAAACTGCGATTCCTCCAGGTCCCTTATCATACCACAGAGTATGGAGGGCAGGATTGCGAAAGGCCCTTACATGACTTAGATTGTGATTCCTACAGGTCCCAGATCTCCCAACTGGGTCATGCAGCAGCTGCTTGGAAGAGAAGTCAACAATGGTGTGTTTCCCTCACCCCAAAATACTAAAACAATTGGAAGAATGAAATGTCATTGTTTCTTGTGACCAATTAGGAGAGACCTTACGAGAGGCTCTTACACTACCCTCCCAATTCCTGCAGGCGTTGTAGTAATCCCAGTGATCCAAAATTCCGACAGGTCTTTGTGGGTAAAATGTTAATTCCGAAATCCTTTATCACAATTAAAATATCAGATTCCGACAGGGTCCCTCTGGATATTATCAAATTAATTATGCCTTCCATGGGGGGAGAGGGGGGCGGATAAAAAATGGAATGTCCCATTACCAGCTGCTATTTAATTTTGGTGTAAAAGATTCTTTACTTTTTGTCCTGAATATTACTGCTACTTTGATGCTTACAGACCAGCAACAGCAAAACACAGTACTATACTGGCAAAAGAAGGAAGTAATAAACTGTATTATTAAAAACTGAATCATTCGATAATGCAATTCTAGAGCTCTGATTGGCTTAGCCATCACCGTATATGAACCATTATACCACGCTCTCCAAATAATTATAGTAACTGTGCGCGTCTGCTCAAAATTAAAAACAAGCTGAAAATCGGTTGGAATAATAATTGTTAAATATCTTTTAAGCCCCCAAGGGTCAGGCATTTTTTAAGGGGGGCATTTAGTGGAGAGAGGGAGGTGGACTTATTTAAAACTCGAAAGGTAAGTCTTGGTAATTCGGCATTATTTTGAGAGATGAAAGTGACAAGTGTAAAGATAAAAATAGAAGTTTTTCAAAATACCATAGTAATTAAAAACAATATTATTGTCTATGCAAAATGGCATCGCATCACACTTACATTTTCTCACAGATGTACAGGGTAACACGTATACATATGCGAGTCATTTAAGATATCATGCTAATGATGGTATTCTCTGAGAAACTCAAAGGAAAATTATACTATTCAAGCTTATAAACCAGTTAATGTATGGCCAAGAACCATTTCTAGGAACTGAAAAGAAAAAAAAAGTGCCTGTTTATCGCTCCTTCCTTCCGCCATGATTGCCGCGAAAGCAAAAGAAGCCTGGCACGAGGACAAGCGAGCTTTCCCTCAATCAGAATCTTTCTTTTGAGACTCTCTGATCTTTGAGAAAGGAGTTGCTATTACGTGCTATTTTCATTTCCCAAGCAGAGAAGAAAGTTTAAACCAAATTGTACCTACTAGAAATACGGGTATCGCAGAACCTCACGAACCTCTGGGGCGGGGAGGGGGGAGGGGAGTCCAAAAAATGTCAGGGTAAGAGGGAGGAGAGAATTGGAGTAAATTATGTAGTGTTTGGAACAGGTTAAGCTAGGTTAGGGGACCCATCAGTTTTAACACACTTTTTAGATGGTATTGATTAATGCGCACACCAGTCAATTGAACTTCATGCAGTATTATTTACAGGGCACGGATTGTTATACGAAAGGCCCCGCGATGAAAGGCTGTGAAAAAAGCACTCATTTGGGCCTGCTTTTTGCACATTCATTTGTTTTATTCCCAGTCTTAAGCCCCTTTCCCCCTCCCAGTATCTGGCAACATTTCACACGTTCTGATTGGTCATGATGTCCTGGTTAAGCATCTGCCATGGTCTGTACAAGTCATGCATTGACTTTGTAGAAAAAGTAAACCTACTGGCAGCCCACAAGGGAAGAGTTAACCATAGTTTTCTAGCACAAGACGACTTGGAGTATTAATATTTATTTCTATTCCTCCCAGATCATCTGGGATGTTGGTCCAGTACCACAAGGTTACCCAAAGTATTCTGTAACAAATAACCACTCATATAAGTTGTAGATCAATGCATTGGAGAGAAATAGCAAGGAAAAAAATAATATTAACTAAGGCAACAAAAATACCAAGGAAAGCTGAGAAAAGTATAAACCCTTTGGGGCTTGGGTCTTAAAAAGGAACAATTTTAAGACTTTAACTCAACTAGCTTAACCGCCACTGTTAATAAAACCAGTGATGTCCAGTGCTTGATAAAGCCACACTAATGAAAAACTGGCATCAGAATAATATCTAGCAAGTTATCTGGGAAAATATACATGTAAATGCAAAAACTAACAATTTACATTTGTTTACAAACAATGTACAATATTGATCAACAGTTGAAATGACATACACTCTTAAATGAGTTATCTTGGTGTTATGAGAAAAACTTTGTTGGAACATTTTTTTTAATTTTCATGCTGCCACTAGTGGCATTGAAGTTCCAACGTTAACAACTGTCACTTGCAGTTGTTTGTTGAGGAATTAAAAAGCTGAGCTTAATGTGCAAGCAAACAAAAGCCACAAAACTAGTTACTAAATACCTTAAGTAAATAAAGCTCTATGTACTAGAAAAAGATGCTGTATTGGGACATTCCATTTTTCATCCGCACCCTCCCTATGGAAGGCATGATTCTGACAGGCCCTTACCTCTTATCATACTACAGAGTTTGGAGGGCAGGATTGCGACAGGCCCTTATCACTTAGATTGTGATTCCTACAGGTCCCAGATCTCCCAATTGGGTCATGTAGCAGCTACTTGGAAGAGAAGTCACCAATGGTGCATTCCCCTGACCCCAAAACACTAAAACAACTGGAAGAATGAAATGTCATTGTTTCTTGCGACCAATTAGTAGAGACCTTATGAGAGGGTCCTACACTACCCTCCCAATTCCCGCAGGCCTTATAGTAATACCAGTGATCCAAGATTCGGACAGGCCCTTGTGGGTAAAATGGTACCGAAACCCTTTATTGTAGATAGAATATCAGATTCGTGCAGGGTCCTTCTGGATATTATCAAATTAATTATGCCATCCATGGGGAGGGGGGTGTGAATAAAAAATGGCATGTCCCATTACCAGCTTCTATTTAATATTGGTTTCAGAAGATTCTTTACTTTTCGTCCTGAATACTACTGCTACTTTGACGCTTACAGACCAGCAACAGCAAAAACCCAGTTCTATACTGGCAAAAGAAGGAAGTAATAAACTGTATTATTAAAAACTGAATCTTTCAATAATGCAATTCTAGAGCTCTGATTGGCTTAGCCATCACCATATATAAGCCATTATACCATGCTCTCCAAATATAGTAACTATGCACATCTGCTCAAAATTAAAAACAAGCTGAAAATCGGTTGGAATAATTGTTAAATATCTTTTAAGCCCCCCAAGGGTCAGGCATGTTTTAAGGGGGGCATTTATTGGAGAGAGGGAGGTGGGCTTATTTGAAACTCGAGAGGCAAGTCTTGGTAATTCGGCATTATTTTGAGAGATGAAAGTGACAAGGGTAAAGATAAAAATAGAAGTTTTTTGAAATACCATAGTAATTTAAAAAAGCAATATTATTGTCTATGCAAAATGGCATCGAATCACACTTACATTTTCTCACAGACGTACAGGGTAACATGTATACATTTGCGAGTCATTTAAGATATCATGCTAATGATGGTATTCTCTGAGAAACTCAAAGGAAAATTATACTATTCAAGCTTATAAACCAGTTAATGTATGGCCAAGAACCATTTCTAGGAACTGAAAAGAAAAAAAAAAACAATATTAATCCCTATTCCACAAATAAAACTAAAAGAAACAAGACATATTTCTTTAACAAGAGTATCCTAACACAAAATGCAGAGCTAAGTATTAAAAGTGTTGTTTTCCAGCCATTGAAGGTAAGAAAGAAACAGAAAAACTTAACACCCATTGTGAATGCCAATTAAGAGTAAGGGTATAGTTTATCATATATATAGCTTCCTTTTTAGTTCTTTCGCTGTTAATCTTGCTTGGATTCCTGCTCACCTTCCCTTTTTCAAACTTGAGAGGTCTTTTTTGTTGTTGTTAGGGTTTCTATAAAGTTACATGATATCAATTTTAATGCAATTAACAAGAAGTAGAGTCATCTCTTTTTGTTTGTTAGTGTTCAGTTTGGTGGCTCAAACATGGCTAGTCTTGCTTGTGTCAGCTTCATGAGCTTGGTACAGTGTTTACTGATGGCCCTCCAGCTGAGCAGTTCATTTGGCCCCACCCTTCCCCCCTTTTTTCCACTCCAAAATTAGTGTATCAGGTGACTGGTTCCATTAGCTTAGGAGCTCATGGCTGGAAGGTGTAGGAGGGAGGGGTAGGGGGTAACTATGTCTGGGGGCTGGCTTTGCCAAAAGTGGTAGAAGACCCTGAACATCCCGGTCACCCACCTCTACTAAGGGACACAGTTGTTAATAACTCATATAATCCCTTGAGCCTTTTTCTGCTTGTTCGTTTCTTCTTGTAAAACTTGACAGACTCTGATTGTATTGTTGTTAATACTACAAACATCATGCTATGTGATTCAGCTTGAAGGTTGTGCTTGGGTGACTTAACACCACAAAGTCGATATTACTCTAATCATAAAAGCTGTAACTGTTTTTGTCAAGTTGTGACTGAGTGGAAAACAATAAATATACTAGCAAAAATCACAAAATATTTCAAAACAAGCAAAAAACATCTATTTTCATCATTTCATTAGGCTTAAAATAGCCAACAGTGTGATGCAGAACATGAAATCAGAGCAGAATAATTCAATACTTAAACAATTTAGGGATTATCGCAAACAAATCTCTTTCCCTGGTTACCTGTTCATAACTGATAGTAACTGTGCCAGTCTGTTGATGATCATGTTTTCTAAACGCATCTGTAAGTGATTTTAGCATAACACAGCACTGAATAAAGTCATCAAACTTCATGGTGCGGAGATTCAGGCGATCAAATTTCCTTACACAAAGGTTGCAGAAATTTGGTGATCTGAAGGAAGAAAAAAACCAATAGGTTAAATCTTCAAACTGCTGGATTTGATTTCCTTCCTTTAATCTGAGAATGGGGATAGTACCCTCAATTAACCATGCACCTTGTACAACAGGGCCAATACTCAAGGGAGTTCTTCACACTGTTATAAAAAAAAATCATGGGTTACTTTCGAGGGTTTGAGGGCGAGAAGCAAGGCCAGTTAGTGGCTAGAGAAAAACTGATAGCAGCAAGGAAGAGGACCAGCAAAAACTCAACTTATATGAAATTATATTGACACAATTCTCCAAGATAGGAACCCATGCAACAAAGTGGAAGCAAGTGCTCTCATTACTGCCACCAAACTTACAGTCTATATCCAAAGCTTGTGAATGCTGTTTGCAGTTCATTAGCATCTATCGTTCCAGATCTATCACGATCAAAACTATAATAACAAGGAACATGTTATTAGCACCACAAACTACAAACATTTTCATTTGACAAAATAACAGGGTAACTAAGGAAGAGAGATACTGCATAATGAGAAGTTAAACATGAAATATGGTTTTACCAATGCATTTAGCCAACTGGTTAAGAGATTCACAAAAGGTATAGACCTTTTCGTTTCCATAAGGTGCTCTGGCAATCCTTTATGTATCAAAAGTATATTTGATACTTTGATACAATTTTTCTTAGAGAAAAGCTTTGTAAACACAGTGCAATTCTGCAGTTGCAAATTTTGACTTGACTCTGGCTTACAATAAGTCTAATAACAATTTTATAATAGAGTCAATCAAAAGGGATGTTATATTCCATTTCTCATGTTTTTCAGTGGAGTTTAAATACTACCTGTCAAAACACTGTTTCCATTGCTGAATGTACTTCCATAATGCAGAGAATTCATAAATATCAATTGTTCCAGACCTAAGAAAACACAAATAGAACAGAAAGAATGAGAGACCACTTAAATATGATTGAATAATTAGTAAACTTTTCAATCAGTGTAATCATCATAGTTTCTTGGAGACAGAATAAGGTAGTACTATACGTGTCTAAAAAGTCTTGTGGATGGGAGCATAAGGGTATTGTAAGAAGTTACTCTCTTATCTACTACGTTTTGGTGAACAGGATATTACTCCTTGATATAGGGTCATACATGTGCTTCTTGAAAAATAAAAATTAATAGATTAAACACTCACTGATCTTTGTCGAACATGCCAATCATTAAGCGGCAAGTTTCAGGGTTAAACTGAGACCAGTTGTTATTGAAGAGGGCTTGTCGCAATTCAGTAGCAGTTATTTTGCCAGATTTGTCTTGATCTACTGTCTGCAGACAAGAAAGCCTTTAGTGATCACACAAAACACAGTCATATAACTATAACACTTGGTTACAAATTCAAAAAAGGTTTTTCTATTTATGAATTCAACAAAATACTGTGAACTGCCAGATAGATAGATAGATAGATAGATAGATAGA